ATTCAACCAACTGCCATGCAAGAGAAGCAAAATGGCTCACTTCATGAGATTTAGATGTTGTTGCAACATAACCGCCACCATGACAATGCAGTAACAGATAAGGTGATAACGGGAGTTGATTCTGTGATCCAGCCGGACTCTGTAACGAAACAACACCTCACATTGAGGGTTGTTTTCCTGTTTTGGCAAAAAAAAAAAAAAAATTCGAAGCGTGAAACCCACTCACAAGTATTTCTCGATGACAGTACGACAAGACGCGTATTTTGACAGGTCGAGGACCAGTGTACGATGATGGTTCCGGGATTTTCACCGTGTTTCCATCGACTCCAGCCATTGATATCGCACCCACCCAGTTAATTTCACGCAGCTCATTTATTGCCATGTTTGGACAAAAAATTCGTGGAACCTGCTAAAAACCATCAATTATTAATAACAATCTTCTGATACGGTTAAGCTGGACTTTGAGAATCTTACAGCAGCAAGGCCGCTATGCGAAAGAGAATCATAAAAATTTTACATATGCAACGCACTTTTAGGGAAAACTAATAATTCATTACAAATGCTATTATTCTTCCCTGGCACGCGTAAATGGTGCGAAATGCAGCCACACATCAATGTGGCTCAAAACAGCGTTGCTTTAGTTCGTATGGACACATCTTGTTAGACTCGCCTAGAAAAAGAAAAAACGTTATGTACGGCTTTTTGAGAGTTGCAAGGATGTAATATCCGTCAAATTCTAAAACGGTCGAATCGCCTCTGCTTCTTTACCGTGACAAGGTGGTTGTCTAGGAGGGATTTCGCGAAAAATTGGAAAAAAACTAGCACCTTTTACCAAGAAAAAAAAATCAAACTCTGGATTCAAAAATAACACGCAATAGAAAAAAACACTTGCATTGCCAAATTCCGATAAATTCCAGAAGCCTCTACAAAATTCGATATCAGCTTCACGAGTAACCTGAAAGGAAATAGAATTTTTTCCCTCAAACTAATATCGCAGATGCGTACGGTTTGGCAAATAACAAAGAAAGTTATTGTACAGTACTACAACCTTAACGATTCGCGTAGCTCTTTGCTCCGGGCTTAATATGAAGCGTGGTGAGTTCAAAAGAGATCCAAGTGTTGTGCGTCCTTTCTCCCAGGATAAGCTATAGGTGGCGAGTATGATACCGATGAATCGAAATATGCGTCCGACTGATGGTGGAAACTATAAACAGAAATTTGAGAAGAAACAGTTGCAAATTCCATCTATCCATATGCAAATGAACGGCATAAATCCAAATTCTTCCGGAACTGGAAAGGCGTTTCCACCAAAACAACTAAACTTACCTGAAAGCCCAACGGTCGCCCGAAAAAACAAGACGGATCGAGCACTTCTATACCATCCAGTATTGCTTCATACTTACTATAATCGCCACTGAGATCAGGAAACAGACAGTTATCTGGAGCATATTTGGCTCCGTCGATCACCTGCAGCGAAAGAATTCTTCAAAAAGGGGCAAGGAAGGGGCTTTGCAAGCAAATGTATTATGCGAATAATGATAAAGTCTCTAACCGTGCCGTGCCGTGCGCACTGTGTTAGCTACGCTCTTCTGAGGAGAGCTTGCTGTGGTTAGATGAGTAAAGCTGAAGAAAAAGCAGCTGAAAGTGTGAATATAAAAAAATGAAATGAACGAACAATGTGCAGGGCCGGGATGAGGAAGTTCAGGACAGCACGATAGCTCTCAAGTTCTTTAGAGTAGTAGGATGCGCGAAACATCATCGTCTGTCGATGCTCGATGCATGAGCGCAACACGGAGATGAGATGGAGCAGAACCGTGTCGCATACACAAACCAACGATCTACATATAACAGTGCTGCTGTAGAATGAGAGATGGAAAAATATGCGAAACACACTGGGATCGGGCACCGACCGACTCAATGCACAAATCCGATGAGAAAAAAAAAAGAATTCTGTGCCAAATTTTCGTTCGTTCTCACAACAATTCCCGTGAAAATCAGTAAAAGTGGAAATTAAATGCAGAAAACCAACCGAAATCCATTTCCGGGCGTAAGCTTGTCATAATCGTAACGTGGAGCCATATCCTGCAGACGTATCACAAGGCCTAAAAATTACGCTACTCCCAGCAAATAAGCAAGAGCACAAAATGCCGAGAAAAGTAAATGAGTGGACAAAACGTGAACCTTTCAAGGAGGGAGTGAGGAGGGATACATTTCGGCAGCATTCTTCCAGGCGAGCTGCATGCACAGCGCAGTTTGCAGAGTTTTTAAAAAATTCAGCGTTATCATCTGCTAGCTAAAAAAAAACAAACTTTTGCTAAATACACTGAAACTGTATTTATTACAACAAAAAAAAAAGCCAAAAAAAAAAGATTTGCGTCGAAAAAAAAGGCTCCACCGTATTCCTCATCACTTGTTATGACAAAA